CAAGTGTGCAACGTGCTGCCCACAGCATCCAAAATGCCTGCCATGGGTTATGCTCCCCTTCCAGAGGACCAGTCCCAGACGCGGCCCTTTTTCTTTTACTTGGGAAGGAGTGTTCTGTCACGTCCCCAAGAACTAGACCCCTAACATCTTCCCTGATAGAGCAGCTGCCTGGATCCTGGAAGGGTCCGCGCCCTCCCCTCTGCAGCACACACGTTACCAAGGCCTAGCAAATGGCCATCCGGCTCTCTCAATACTCTGTGTTAACACAGTGGACCAGTGTGACATTCTGATGAAGACACAACAGCACTTCTCAGCACTGGTTTCAGGGCTCTGTTACATTCTGCAGAATGACTGGGGCTCCCGAAGAGATTTTACTTCCATGAGTTCTACCTATGTATACTTACTGGAAGATAAATTTAAACGGACAACATTAAGACTTATTTGTGTATTAATCTGTTAACAATAGTAACTGCTAGTATAGTAATAGTATATAGCATACTATATATACTATAGTAATAGTAATAATAATAGTAATAGTAATAGTAAACCCATTATATGTTTACATAAATGCATGTCTTTAGGAAAAATGAGTATTTTTTAAAAGTTTTTGAGAGGCATTGTCCAACATTTTTGCAAATCTTTTCAAGACAGCTGGAATTTCCTATCTGTTTCTGCATTCCATCTGTTGTGATACGTTGTTCTGGTTTAAGTTTATGAAGAAAATCTAGCCTCACAGAAATGTATAGCTGAAAAGTGGAGGAGTATTTTAATAGTCTCTTTAGATAATTATGGATATTTTTCCGTGATGGTATATCAAAGCTCAAAACGTGGTAGTTTCTTAAAGGCTTGTTGTGATGCGGAAGGTGAGACCCTATCATGTACTTTGTGCACTTTGTTAGATTAAAGTCCACTGGTCTGTTTTGCCTTTGGGTTTTGTAGCATCGTGCACTGGTCATTGGCTCGCTCTGGAGCTATGTGGGCCTTCCAGAGGTTGACACGTTTCATTACATAACGTCAAAAACTCACATTTGTTAATATTGCCACCAATCTCATCAGAAAGGTCTTTAAATGCTGGGAAGCTGTCAAATTCACAGTAGTGAATATGCATTTTACAAAAGTCTAATTTTCACTTGAAAACTCACCTTTTATTATGGGCAACAAACTACCCGTTGTTTTGCCTGAAGGGAAGGTTCTCTAAATCATTTTGAGAAAATATCTGCCCAATACCGAAGACCCCATAATGATAGTTTATTATCTGTCAGTAGTTCTTTCAAGTAAAAATAGTGTTTCATTTTTTAAAAAAGCTATTAGTTCAACTCAATCACATGCGTATTTTCCTTAAGACAACCGTCTTCTTCCCGTACACACTGGAAATGCTGTACGCATACCTTCGATTGGTTCCACCAGCTTTTAAAAAGACTTGTATTCAAAGGTCGAGATTTAATATAATTAATAGTATATAATTCAATATATTGATATAATAGAATTGCATTATTACAATTAATGTGATTTAATATGATTAACGCTTCCTTAGGACATTTTTAAGTGAAACTGGCGATTTTTCCTTTTGTTTTCTTCCTGCGAGAGCACGGACTGGGGAATCCCAGTGATGACGCGACGACCTCCCTCCGTTGCTTTGACCTGTGCTCTGCTGCCTACAGGTTGACTCACCATCGTCCCCCCACCCCCCGTGACAGGGTCAACTCCGTGAAAAAAGCATGCAGTCTCTCACTGCTGCTGTGAAAACAGTTTTGACCTTGAAGACCTGCTGCAAGTGATCAAGGGGCTCCTCGGGGTTTATGGAGATGCTGTGAAAACCACTAATCTAGGTGATCCAGGGTCCCTCAGACCGTTTTGACAGAGAGCGGGGGGTTCAGGTAGCCATGAAGCAAGAACGTCCGTGTCCGCCACGGACTGTTTCAAGGGAGTTGCTCCTGCTTTGTTCTCCTGCGTGATGCGATGGGAAACTAGCTGGGGGCCAGCACAGCGTCCACAGACCAGTACTGGACACCGGGTTAGTCCTGCCGGCAGATAGGCCAGTGCGGCTGGATCTGCCCCGGCTGTGTAACTGTGCCAATAATACTTGTTTGGTCACTTGCCCTCACCGGCCAGGACCAGCTGACGTGGTAAGGATTAAGTAGTGAACTGCATGCGAATGACACAGGGAGGTGATCATCTCGGCCTTTTCCCCTCAGCAGTGCTGTTATTTGTTATCGTGGCTGCCCGTTGGGGGCGGAGTTTTGGAGACACCTCTCGTCCCTCCCTATTATAGCAGCTTTTACCCCACAGGCCAACCAACCGATGTGGGGTTCTGCCAACTACCGTAAGTGCGTTCTCACCCTGTACTAATACCCACTGGGAAAGGTCCCCTGACCCAGCGCACCTGCTCTGATCTGGACCTGGACCAGGCCTCCACTCGTTGGCTGGCCTCCAATGGCTCCTGCTCCCACAAGACCATAGTGGGACTTCGGATTCTTAAGCTTCAATGTCCAATCAGACTGTGTCCAACTGTCGTCCTCAAAAGGTCCCGGTAATTTCCTATCTTCCCGGCACCGTGACCGGGCACTAGAGCTGCTAGTTCTCTGGGGGAAGGACTGAGGCGATTCCTCCTGAGCACACCTAGTTCTGCGTTGTAGGGTCACTTACGAGAGGCACCTGCCTTCTCCTGAAGCTCACATTCTGGGCCACGAAGTGGTCCCGGTGTGACCCCTGGGCAGATTGTGGCTCTTTCCTTGGCACTATCTACAGTCAGCCTCCTCGTCGGCCATGCTTAGTTTGTGTGGAGGGTTTACCTCAACCTTAACCTCAACCAGTACTCTTGCCGGCTAGATCTCTGTCTAGGCTCGACGGTCACTGTGCTGCGTTCACAGTCTCCACGGCTCACTCTGAACGGGTCCTTCCTGCCCCACCACTCTGCCCTGGCCATTTGTTGCAGTAATTACGGGAGGAGCACCATGTTATCTCAGAGGTGCAATTTCCATACCCATGTCCTGCTCTTACTGTATAAGATTTCTGTAACAACTTAGCATTTATGCTTTCCTGACTTCCCCTTCTTCAGAATAATTAAGCTTTCTAAAAAAAGTTATCGTAATTTTCATGTTATGGCATTTCCACTCAGAGTGCCTTAATTGTGCCTACATTAAACAGGAAAAAGAGTAGTTTACTTGGGAGATCATTTTTTTTTTCTGATTTTGTCCTGTGAGCAAATGCTAATGGAGCCTAATACATTTCAGGCTCTGTTGGGTGTGAGAGGAAAACAACCGTAAAGAAACATTGTCTGACTTAAGGAATTAATTATTCAGCCTAATGAATTGCCAATGACTAGTCAACCAGTCATGTAGTTCATTCAGGAAGACGTGGAATTGGGGCCAGTAATTTGTGCTCAAGTGAATGGGTGTAGCGGGTGGTTTACTGCTCTCATGCTGCTCTGAATAATGACCTGTCACCCTTGCCACATGCTCTCCCCGACCAAGTCTATGTGTGTCGTCCTCTGCGGATGGACCCAGAGAATGACCCAGAGTTAGTGGTCTTCAAATGAGGTACCATGCAGGTGTGTGTAAGGCGATCAGTGGGGGTGTGGGCTGAAAATAACTTCTACTCGTCCCCCTTTATCCTTTGAAAAAGGAAAAAACACACTCTGTCATATATAATCTAGATTATGACTCGCACATTTCTTCTTCTGGTCACAGGGTCTGTAGGGAGCTTGAGACACCCTGGATGAAACATAAGATCTCCACCAGCGCCTCATTCTTCAGCTGTCAGGATATTGTGACTTGTGGTTGTTTTCTACTGTTAAGTCAATTAGATGAGGAAAAAAGCCAGACTTTTTATGTGTAAACAGGGGTAAGCAATTGTGTTAAAAGTGTGGGGACCACTGTCTCTTAAGCTGTAGCCTAGATGTGTGCTAGTCATTCTATCCATGACCCATTTCCGTTTTCTTCTTGACAAAACAGCAAGCCTGGATTTTTGTGGCCATTATTAAGAATGTGGAGGAGATAAGCCTTTATGCCATGCAGAATGGCTCCTGTCGTTATTTTTATCTTCTATCACCTTTGGAAATTTGGTTGGGAATAACACTGAGCTATAAATTTTTTGGTCTTTCCCTTACCATTAAGTGGTCTCTTGGGGCTGCTATGGACTGAATTGTAGCCCCCCCCCATTCATATGTCGAAATCCTAATTCCCAGTGTGACTGTATTTGGAGATAGTCTTTAGAAGGTTAAATTAGGTCATGACGGTGGGGCCCTTATCCAATAGGACTGTGGCCTTAGAAGAGAAAGATCCCCTTCTTCCACTCTCTCTCTCTCTCTCTCCCCCAGCTGTCTGCAGGCCAGAAAGAGAGCCTCATCAGAACCTGTCCATGCTGACACTCTGATCTCAGACTTTGAAACTCCAGAACCGTGACCAGGTCAGTTTCTGTTCTGTAAGCCGCAGTCTGTGGTGTTTTGTTATAGCAGCCCAAGCTGATAAAGACTAAGGCTTAGCCTTTGTAGTTAACTGTTGTGAAATCTTCATTATTACACAGTAAAACAGGCAGATCAAGGGCACAGATTGGGTTACACTCAGGCTCAAATCTCATGTGGTTTTGGGCAACTTCCTTCAGCTCTAGGAAACCCATTTCCTCAATTATAAAGTAGGGATAATAGGGGCACCTGGGTGGCTCAGTCACTTAGGTGTCTTGACTCTTGATTTCCACTCAGGTCAAGATCTCAGGGTCATGGGATCAAGACCCACAACAAGCTAGGTGCTGGGCATGGGATCTGCTCAAGATTCTCTCTCTCCGTCTGCCCCTCCTCCTTCCCATGCTCTCTCCTTCTCTGTCTCAAAAAATGAAATAAAAATAAAATAAAGCAGGGATAACAATTCCTTAAAATTTATTTGAGGTATGATCATACAGGGATACATATTTGATGCCTGGTTTAGACTTTATACACTAACAATGATGTTCTAATCATTTTTTGATCTCATAAAATTGTGGTGGTTTAGATGGGTAGGAAAAATCTTATCCCTCCAATCCTTGCAAGTGGGGTAGAATAAGGTTATATTCTGCACTTCCCCATTTTTCCTCACTTTTAAACTTGGAATTAAGAATCTTCATTTGTAGTTAAACTCTTACTTGAATCAAATAGATGCATACCTTCCCATTATAAAAAATGTGCAGTCATCATTTTTCTATATGCCAATCACATGGCTCAATCACAAGATGTGGGTAACTACAAAAGACACCAGAACTTGCATCTAGTTGTTGCTAGAATGGGCACAAACCACGTTTTATAAAGATGTGTTTCAGTAGATGTCTTGTAATTTGTCACCATGTCTATAAAACCACCACATAGTATATCATCTTGGTTTTATCTTTTGTACATATCTTTTGTTGAATGTATTTATTTGTGAGAGCTGCTGCAACAAAATACCACTCACTGAGCGGCTTAAGAAACAACAATCCTCCCCCTTTTTATTCCACAGTTCTGAAGGCCAGAAGTCCAAGATCAAGGTGTCATCAAGTTTGGCCTCTCCTGAGGCTTCTTTTGTTGGTTCACCAATGACCACCTTTTTGCCGTGTTCCCACTTGGTTTCCTTCTGTGTGCACACATTTCTGGTCTCCCTTTGTGTGTCCAAATTTCCCTTTGCTATGAGGACACCAGTCTGACTCACCCTAAGAATTTCAGTTTAAATTCATCTTTTTAAAGATCCTGTTTCCATATGCAGTCCTGTTTTGAGATACTGTTGCTTAACACTTCAACACAGGAAGTTTGAGAGAGAAGGGGACACAATTCAGTCCGCAGGTGAAGCAGGAAATTCTACCCATCAAAACTGGCCTTCAGAGGCGCTTTATGGCAGGTAGGAGTTCTATACCTGTTTACATTTTTTTTTTTTCAAACTAAAATCATGGCCATGTTCTAAGATAAAGAAACTGAAATGTTCTGATTTCTCTTTGTGTTTCTATAAGGGATAAACCAGAATTTCTCAAAAACTTTGGTTCTCCTTGAGATGCTCCATTGGATTTCTTCTTTGTGAGAGCATTTGGCTGTACTCTTACCTATGCGACACTCCAATTTTTACAAAAATGTCCTCCGTCATCCCCGGCTTGGCCCCTTATTTGACGGCTTCTCACTGAACTCTCAGTGCGGATTTCTAGCTTCAGTACACGGTGCCAGTGGGGAATATTCTTGGAACCCACGGTGGCTTTTGAGATCTGTATCAGGAGATCCCCGCACCAAGGCCTGCTGCCTATGGGATGTGTAGCTCACCCATTATTCCAGATCATGGGCTCCGGAAACTGAATGCAGAATAGTTCAGACCATTTGCTTCAAAGATGAAGATTCAGAGTTTACATCTCATCCCAGTTGGTTCTATGGCTTCAAGAAGGTGATGTGCTCTGAATGAGCTCAAGTTTTCCCCTTGACTAAAGCCACATAAGGTAGCACTGTACACAAGCAGCCACCATCAGCTGTATCTAGGGGCATTTGGTGAAACAGCTCTGTGTATAAACTTGTATTTAATGAAGAATATTCTCATCAATATTTCCTAACAGCATTCTCTCCTCTGGGTCCCAGCATAGGATTTTCTCTCTTTCCAGGGCCTTCTCTTGGTGCTCATTGTACTCTGTTAGAAACTGAATCTTGTAACAAAACATATTTCTTATCTTCAAATAACTGAAAAGCTTTTGACCAAACTTGTGGCCAACCACTTGTGAATGTATACAACTTCGTAACGCCAATTATATGCACTTTAAAAATGCTTGATGCCATCTCATATTCTTTTCTGTCATATTGTTCTTCTTATTTTAGTTTATTTTATCTTGCTATATCACACCTCCCTTTGTGAAGTGCTTTCTATCATAACTCCTGGGTAGGAATTTTTATTTTTTCCCAATTACTATGGATGTGTATATGGTCATGTGTATATGTGGAGGGAAAGAATTAAATGCTTCCTCTTTCTTTTTAGTGAGATGGAGCTTTTATAACCACTTGGATCCCCTATTGCCTTTCAAAGGAAGCAAATCCAATGGGGAGCACTGGAACACTGCCGCTTCTCTTTGATTTTAGGACATAGTTTAAACGTGATGGTTCCAATACCTCAGCCATTTCTAGGAACAGCAGTAAATGCTCTCTTGCCTTTTCTCCTTAAAGGAAAACTGTCCCTTAGGGGAAGCACCAGGTGTTGTGTGGGAAGGATGCAATCGTGTACTGACATCTTCAGGAGAAGAAAAGCCAGTGATACCATCTTAGAACCGTAACTAGAAACGTGCATGCTTAAGGTAAGCCCCTGCGGAGAGCTGAGAACCCACTCAAGGTATCCAGACCACCCCTGGAAGGACGTGGGTGGGGGTAGCTCGAGGAATGCTTCCAGGAGAGTTCCTTGGTAAACTTGATCCACTCGGTAAACGCATTTCAGGAAGCAGGGCCAGTACCGCGGACAGCACCAGGACCCCCGCCCGGGTGGGGGGAGGCAGCAGCACCACGGACAGCACCACCGTGAGCGAGCACTGCGCGCGCTCTGGGCGGAGGGGCGGGGATAGGCGACCTTATCAGCTGATGCCTTACGTAGGCTGGATCCCCACTTTGAGAAGGCAGGTCTGGATGGGCGCGCCAGCTTTCCGCCCCAAAGCCGCGGCCCCAGACGGCGTGGTACTGGGGCTGGGGGGATAGCAGGAGGCAGATCGCAGAAAAAAGGTCCCTGCCTGGCTTCCCTGGCACGGGTTTGAGGCTGCAGCCCGCTGCCTGGAGAGAGGGGCGAGTAGGGAGGCAACGCGCAGCGAAAGTACTGCTCTGACGCACCAGCACCCCCTCCGGCACCCACAGGCTCCGGGGGCGCCCAGCTGCCCCCCGACTTGGGAGATGCTCGGCTCTGGGTGACCAGACTGCTGTCTGTGCCGGGGGGAAAAGCCTGGGCATGTGACAGCTTAGGAGGGCCCTGGCTGCGCTGCGAGACGCAGCCCAGCACCCTCCTCTCAGCCACACCGTCTCCCGCGAATGCTCACTGGCAGGAGGTTTCGTAAACAATCCCCAGAAACCCCGCCACCAGCCAGAGGTCGCAAACATCCCGAGTGGCTCCGGGCGCAGGGGCCACGACTGTGTTCCCGAACGCCCCTTCTGCACGCACCCCGGGCCAGTCTCCTGACCCAGCGATGGATTCACCTGTGAATCTAACCTACTTTTTTCTCTCCACCCCCGCCCCTTCGGAGACCAACCGCAGCAGTCTTGACGCCGAAGACCCGCGCCCCAGCCCGCCCCTCCACTCCGTCTTCGGTGTGCTTGTTCTGACCTTGCTGGGCTTTCTGGTGGCTGCGACGTTCTCCTGGAACCTCCTGGTACTGGCGACCATCCTCCGTGTGCGCACCTTCCACCGGGTTCCGCACAACTTAGTGGCATCCATGGCCATCTCGGACGTGCTCGTGGCGGCTCTGGTCATGCCGCTGAGCCTGGTGCATGAGTTGTCCGGCCGGCGCTGGCAGCTGGGTCGGCGGCTGTGCCAGCTGTGGATCGCGTGCGACGTGCTCTGCTGCACCGCCAGCATCTGGAATGTGACAGCCATCGCGCTGGACCGCTATTGGTCCATCGCGCGGCACCTGGAATACACACCCCGCGCCCGCAAGCGCATCTCCAATGTTATGATCGTGCTCACCTGGGCGCTCTCCGCTGTGATCTCCCTGGCGCCGCTGCTCTTCGGCTGGGGGGAGACATACTCCGAGGGCAGCGAGGAGTGTCAGGTGAGCCGCGAGCCCTCCTACACCGTGTTCTCCACCGTGGGCGCCTTCTACCTGCCGCTCTGCGTGGTGCTCTTCGTGTACTGGAAGGTCTACAAGGCCGCCAGGCTCCGCGTGGGCTCCAGGAAGACCAACAGCGTCTCACCCTGGCCGGAGGCTGTGGAGGTGGGTGTTACAGAGATCCTTGAAAATACTTTACTTGCATTCGTTCAGGCTTTATCTCCAGCACACGGACTCCAAAGTTTGTAGAAAGTGAGCTTTTTAGTTTTTTGGCGGGGTGGGGGGAGGGGAGAAGCGGGGAGACAGATGGTAACATGACTTGGCAGAACGATGGCTCAACATCAGGCAGAGCAGATTAATGTTTTAGGCCAGTCTGCTTTTTTCTTCGTAAATCAAAGCAACTAATCTTTCAAAAACAGAGTATCTCCTGGCTTACCACCTGCTGTTCTACAGTGTCTTCATCGAGGCGTTCACCCATTTCAGAGGCTGCTTTTCTTAGACACTTCCACTGCCTCTGCGCTGCCTTCTGGGTCTGTTTCCAGCCCCACCCGGCCGTTTGTGGGCAGCAGAGGGTCACTTGTTCGCCTTCCCAAACAAGCGACAGGAGGAAATTAAAAATCTAAGGCAGACAATTCCCCAGGTCTTTACAAGTAGCCTTTTCTGTGAGACAGTAGCTACGCAACAGTGAAGTCTCTTCTCCTGTCCTCTTTCCACCATGCTTTCCTGTTTGGTTGTTAACTCTTAGTAATCCAGCCCTGTGACTGCAGATTCAGGAAATGCACGACTGAATCCACCGGTGTGAAGATAGCTCTCCCCCAACCAGCTCTCACTGCCAAGGTCTTCCCTTGAGCCCAATTCATGTATTTAAGTTAGGTCAGAAGTCTACACAGCCCCAGTTTCTGTTCTTGGCTCTGGAACAACATAAATTCCATTAAGCATATTAAACCCACACTGTGTATGGGCTTGGTGCAGGGAGTGAAGAATGATAAAGACATCAGCTTTCCCAGGAAGAGCTCCCTCTAGTGAGGGCGATAGACACGTCCCGTGAGTGCTGTGATAACGGTTGTGTTTGGGGATCAGTAGCTAATTCCAACAACAGTCAATCAAGCTCAGAGGGACCAGAGGTGTAGATAAGGGAGAAGAAAGTGCGTCCTTCTAGAAGAGGGAAAAGGGGGTCAGAGGCTACCTGTCCTTTTATCCAGAACAATGGCCTCAAGCAGGGGGTGATTTAGCCCCTCCAGGGGCCATTTGGAATGTCTGGAGACGTTAAGACTTGGGGGGGGGGACATTGTTAATGCACCAGACAGGCCCCCACAACAAAAAATTATTCAGAGCAAAATGACAACAGTGCCAGATTTGGGAAACCCTTTGCTATTAGATTTTGGAACTGAATGAGGAGTGCCGATGGGGCATCAAACTGCCCGGGGCTTCCACACGTGTGACGATCCACCCCAACTCCGGGCCAGGAACAAGAGCACTGGCCACCTTCAAGGGTCCTCCTCCCACATACCTCTTCTGCCAGGATGCTTATCCAGGCCAATGGTTTACAGCCAATACCAGACACAGCGTGACAAGGAAAAGCAGTCACAGTTCCGTCTTTTGGAATTTACTGTAAAGTGATGCGGCCTTTCGCTGCACTGCTCTGGAGAGAACATTAGCAAAACATCTTGACATTGTTCTGCTTTTATATGTATTTTTTGCACCATTTTATTTTCTCTCTTTCTCTCTCTCTGGCACATAACTTAAGAAAATAGGGCCCTTGGTTTGCAAGACCTTCAAATGGTCCAGGGCTCCACTGTTACTGGGAAGGGTGAATTACAAACCAGGTCTCCTGCTTTTTCCCTGGTAGCAGGTGCCAAAGTTTCCATATAGAGTCCTACCCCCAACTGGCTGTGTTACCTAGGGAAACACAACACTTTTTCCTTGCTTCTTTGCTAAGTTTTCTTCAAATACCTACTGAGAGCCTAACCTCTGTCAGACACTGGGATGGGAGCGGGCAACATGAGATGGGCCTTGCCCTTGACAAAGCATGTCATCATGCACCACTACTAAATGTCTGGCATAAAAAGATCATGCTGGGTTTACTGCTGACTAGTCTGTGGCAGAGCTGTGCTGGCCAGCCAGTCGCTAATCTTAAATGGCATTTTTGGGAAGCAATGGAGATCTAGGGGATGTTGCCGGGGGTGACTTCATCTGCCTGAGTCTTTCTTTATTTTTTTATTTTACTTAAATCCAATTCATTAACTAGAGTGTATTATTAGTTTCAGAGGTAGAGGTCAGTGATTCATTAGTTGCATGTAACACCCAGTGCTCAGTGCATCACGTGCCCTCCTTCATGCCATCCCCCAGTGACCCCATACCTCTACCTGCCTCTCCTCCAGCAAGCCTCAGTTTGTCCCCTAGAGTTAAGAATCTTTTATGATTTGTCTCCCTCTCTGATTTCATCTTATTTTATCGTTTCCTCCCTTCCGCTATGATCCTTTGCTTTGTTTCTTAAATTCCACATGTGAGTGAAATTGCACAATAATTGTCTTTCTCTGATTGACTTATTTCGCTTAACATAATATCCTCTAGTTTTAGCCACATCATTGCAAATGGTTAAGATTCAATTTTTTGATAGCTGAGTAATATTCCATTGTTTATTTTTTTGATATTTTCTTTAAGGTAAATTTTAATTTTTTAATTTTATTTTTTTCAGTGTTCCAAGATAGTCCATTGTTTATATATACCACATTTTCTTTACCCATTCATTTGTCAATGGACATCTGGACTGTTTCCGCAGATTGGCTATTGTGGACGTTGCTGCTGTAAACATTGGGGTGCAGGTGCTCCTTTGAATCACTACGTTTGTATCCTTTGAGTAAATGCCTAATAGTGCAATTGCTGGGTCATAGGGTAGCTCTATTTTTAACTTTTTGAGGAACCTCCATATTGTTTTCCAGAGTGGCTGCACCAGCTTGCATTCCCGCCAACAGTGTAGGAGGCTCCCCTTTCTCCGCATCCTCGCCAACACCTGTCATTTCCTGACTTGTTAATTTTAGCCATTCTGACTGGAGTAAGGTGGTATCTCATTGTGGTTTTGATTTGTATTTCCCTGATGCCGAGTGATGTGGAGCATTTTTTCATGTGTCTGTTGGCCATCCGGATGTCTTCTTTGAAGAGCTGTCTGTTCATGTCCTCTGCCCATTATTGACTGGACTTTTTTTGTTTTTTGGGTGTTGAATTCTTTATAGATTTTGGATGTTAGCTTTTTATCTGATAAGACATTTGCAAATATCTTCTCCCATTCTGTAGGTTGTCTTTTAGTTTGTCACCGTTTCCTTAGCTGTACAAAGCTTTTTCTTTCGATGAAGTCCCAATAGTTCATCTTTGCTTTTGTTTCTCTTGCCTTTGGACGTGTCTGGCAAGAAGCTGTGGTGGCCGAGGTCCTAGAGGTCGCTGCCTGTGTTCTCCTCTGGGATGCTGATGGATTCCTGTCTCACATTTGGGTCTTTCATTCATTTTGAGTTTACTTTTGTGTATGCTGTAAGAAAATGGTCCAGTTTTGTCCTCCTGCATGTGGCTGTCCAATTTTCCCAATACCATTTGTTGAAGAAACTGTCTTTTTTCCATTGGACATTCTTCCCTGCTTTGTTGAAGATTAGTTGACTATAGAGTTGAGGGTCCATTTCTGGGTTCTCTATTCTGTTCAACTGATCTATGTGTCTTTGTGCCAGTACCATCCTGTCTTGATGATCACAGCTTTGTAACATAGCTTGAAGTCTGGAATTGTGATGCCTCCTGTTTTGGTTTTCTTTTACAGCATTCTTTTTCTACTTAAGGTCTTCTGGTTCCATACAAATTTTAAGATTATTTGTTTCAGCTCTGTGAAAAATGTTGATGGTATTTTGATAAGGATTGTATTGAATGTATATATTGCTCTGGGTAGCACAGACATTTTAACAATATTTGTTTTTCTAATCCATGAGCATGGAATGTTTTCCCATTTCTTTGTGTCTTCCTCAATTTCTTTCATGAGTACCTTATTGTTTTCTGAGTACAGATTATCTCCCCCTTTGGTTAGGTTTATTCCTAGGTATCTTATAGTTTTGGGTGCAATTGTAAATGGGATTGACTCCTTAATTTCTCTTTCTTCTGTCTCATTGTGTATAGAAATGCAACTGAATTCTATGCATTGATTTTATATCCTGTGACTTTGCTGAATTCCTGTGTGAGTTCTAGCAGATTTGGAATCTTTTTTGGGTTTTCAACAAGAGGATCATGTCATCTGTGAAGAGTGAGAGTTTGACGACTTCTTTCACAATTTGGACACTTTTATTTCTTTCTGTTGTCTGGTTGCTGAGGCTAGGACTTCCAGGACTATGTTGAACAGCAGTGGTGAGAGTGGACATCCCTGGTCATGTTCCTGACCTTAGGGGAAAAGCTGTCAGTTTTTCCCCTGTGGGTTTTCATATATGGCTTTTATGATATTGAGGTATGTTCCCTCTATCCCGACACTGCAGAGTTTTAATCAAGAAAGAATGCTGCATTTTGTCAAATGCTTTTTCTGCATCTATTGAAAGGATCATATGGTTCTTATCCTTTCTTTTATTAAGGTGGTGTATCACATTGATTGATTTGCAGATGTTGAACCACCCCTGGATCCCAGGAATAAATCCCACTTGGTTGTGGTGAATAATCCTTTTAATATAAGTTGGATCTTATTAGCTAGTATCTTGGTGAGAATTTTTGCATCCATGCTCATCAGGGATATTTTTCTGTAATTCTCCTTTTTGGTGGGGTCTTTGTCTAGTTTGGGGATCAAGGTAATGCCTGTCTCACAGAATGAGTTTAGAAGTTTTCCTTCCATTTCTATTTTTTGGAACAGTTCCAGAAGAATAGGTATTAATTCTTCAAATGTCTAGTAGAATTTCCCCTGGGAAGCCATCTAGCCCTGGACCTCTTTTTTGTTGGGAGATTTTTGATTACTGACTCAATTTCTTTGTTGGTTATGGGTCTGTTCAGGTTTTCTATTTCTTCCTGTTTTAGTTTTGGTAGTTTATACATTTCTGGGAATTTATGCATTTCTTCCAGCTTGCCTAATCTGTTGGCATATAATTGCTCACAATATTCTCTTATAATCATTTGCATTTCTTTGATGTTGGTTGTGATTTCTCCTCTTTCAT